AAGTGGCCATAATTAATCTTGAAGTTTATAGCTTCAAACATTAAAGTTACTGAAAAAAATTCTAGCAGTGACCTCCCATTAATGTTCAAATGATTTATTCCATAAACCAAAGTGGCTTACACATTATTGCAGACTTTACAAACTACAGTAGTATACAGCTGTACATACAGCTCTTCATATTAATTCCCAATTTTACAGTTCGTTGATGTTTACTTGTCTCCGCTCTATGCTCTATCAGATCATTACTAACTATTAATATTATAAGAAAAGTGTTCTTCATCTAAATGTGTAAGATATTCTACATACAGCTGTAGGTGTTTCAGATTTGCCTCAAACCTATTTCAGTTGTTTAGGTTTTTGCAACTCAGAAACTGGTTAAAAATCCTTTTACCCTTGGACCAATATTTACCTATGACAAGACTATTTCTTTCTTAAACTTGTGTACCTAAGGACAAAATCCTGTTCCAACTGAATGGAACCCTCAAGACACCCATTTTAATAAATAATTAGTATTTTTGTATTTATTGCTATTTACATATTAAACAAAATTTGATTCTGGTGGCATTTTTTTCTTTAGGCTCTATTATGAAAAGGCCTAATTCTTGCTATCAATTTACAATTTTTGCTGGTATAACAACTGGGTTATAGCATTTAGCAAACTAAGAAATAGTTTAGGTACATGTAGCTATTCAAATTCAGATCAGACTTTTGTTGCTAATGGTTCCTGTATAGTATTGGATATGCTCTTAGAGGAAGTACCAGCCGGAGCTACTAGTACTTGCCCTGTTCTGAAAATTGAGGGTCATTAAAGTAATGATCAACTGTAAGTATTCCACAGCATGTCAACATTACCATTGTCACTGTAGTTGGTCCCAATGAAAGAAGCTAATAATTATTTTAAACTCAGTATACATGTACATGTGGTACAAAAGGTTGATCTGGCTAGCCTGCAAAATAACTACACTGCTGTCTCTCATCACTCTTTTTCTTGAGTCATGTTGCAATCCTTTGCAAAATTCCATACTAAATCATGAACATAGGCACGTTAAACGTGCATGAGCTATTTTGAATGCTTCAGTGTAACTATAATACTTCGATGTAACCTTACCAAGAGTGATGAATCTACCTTTTTCATCCTAAATGTAGATTTGGTTTTTGTGCGAAATTGGGTATTGCGCTACATAAATGAAAACGCGAAACGCTCAGCTGAGTCGATCCTCAACCTATATATTCACTTTCCTCTGTCTTTCCCTGTTACATCTGGTGCAAGTTAAACAAATTGTTGAAGTAAAATAAATTTCTACTCACCAAACGTTGATTAGAAGGAAAACTCTAAGGTTTCCGCGGAGTTTCTTAAGCCAAAATGTGACTCATCGAATACTGAATAGTTACGAAATACCAGGATTTTTATCATTGTGGTAGATGGTTGCATCATTATAATTCACGAGGTTTTCACGTGCGATTCTACTCAGTGAAACAGTCTTTAACTCCGACAACTTATTTCTTCATGTTTTAAAAGCTATTGCTTCTTAAAAGACAAGAGCCTCTTTTAAGGCATTGGTTACAAAACGAAACAGGTCTTCATACGTTCAAGTCACTATTTATCATTGTGAAAAGCCAATCTGCATGAGATGTACAGTCACACAGCTGGCACGTGAAAGTGTTGGACTTTGCCCCGTTTCGTGGTTCGTACGTGAGGGAATTCGAGTTATCACACAGTAATCTAGTAAACAGAATTATAAAAATAACTCATGCACACGTACCATTTGCATGTGAAGATGTTGGTCTTTGGCCCTTTTACAATTCGTACGTAAAAAAAAAGGCAAATTGTTTCACTACAAAATTTTCTCAAGCGATTTTAAGAAATCACCTCGGCTTTATTACAACACCTGCAATTAAATTATGTTTCATGCAACGTCAAGGTTGATAGCCTAACATTTATTAACTACCAAGAAAATTATCGAACTGCCGAAATATATTTCTACTTGTATCATGTTACTCCACTCAATACAACAGTATCTAATTTTGTGTCAACTAGCTTCTTCCAATTTTATTCCCTAACGCTACTGTTTCTACTGAAGTTACGCATCTTTACTAAATAGAACGAAAAAGGTCGGTTGAACTTTGTAGGCGAGAGAATAATATGTTTAAAGCTTGTTTACAGGATTAAACAATACTCGATACAGCTTTCAAAAAAATAAGCTGCCTTTTTAAACTTCTAAAACCACATCTTATAGGGCGCATACTTTCGAATTAAAGTCTATATCTAAATATCAATTACTGCTTCATTGGAAGAGCTTTGAAAATATATGATCTTTTATACTCTACCCAGTTGTAGTGGGTGAAACAGAACTCATACTGACGTGCGTTGTACCGATAGCCGAATTAGGTCAGAAATGCCTTGAAGCAGCATCCATACTAAAATATGAACCCTTAAACAGCTGCATCACTGTACACAGCGTTTGAATCATGAAGATATTTAATGTAATTCTTCCAAACACCTGTAGCCGTAATAAAAGACGAAAAAATTCTGAAGAATCAAGATGGCGGTCTCAAAGTGCCCTTGTTCGACCTTTGCCAATGTCATGTTTTAGTAGATGCTAAGATCTCATTGGTTCCTAAGCATCAACTAATAGTACCTTCAACCTTATTGGCTCTTGCAACAAACATCCGAACATACAAAGTTACAAAGTTACAAAGCCACAAAGATACATACGCTCACACCACTGACATAAAATAGCTCAACAAAAAGCAGGGTGTACCTAAATTTGTTTTGTTTTTTTTTCAAGCAGGTCAGTTGCAATTGCTGTAATCGGTACACATGTACTGTGAAGTGGTGCCAGCAGCACTCAAATGCCTGCAGTTAAGCAAATAGATTTAAAAGAAACATTTGTACATTAATTGGCCTTTTTAACCTGCTGACTGGTACATTACTTGCAAACAATAGCCAAAGGATTCTAATGAAAAATTTATTACATCAACCAATTTGATCTACCTGCCACCAGAATTCTCAGGACAAATCAACACCATCAGGATTTGTACTGTTTACACAGATTTATCTTTTTCTAAAAGAAAGTGTCATAAACAGAGAGTGATTAAAGGATTACTGTATGAGCTACATGTACGTGTACCTGTAAGTATAACCAGTCATAAATAATCTGGGATTAACTTATATTTCCTTATCACAAAGCAAATTCAGGAGCATTATCTGGTGCCTCCTGCTCTGAGGAGAAGCCATTCTTCCTTCCTATTGTCATTGAGTAATGAAGGGCTTACATGTGACTGTTTTAATTTTGCTTTACTGTTCAGCTTGGCAAAGAGGTTTTTACAGGCTAACTGTTGACTCCTCCATGCTAGAGGCCTCCTGCAAAGCACTTTTCTCGGATTTGTCATCTCCTTGGTCTGTATTGCCTTGCTCTGAAGACATGTACTCCACATTTATACAAGCTTTGAGCTTACAACAATCCTTCTTCGAAATAGAGGTTGACTGGAAAAGGGTTGTCTCTTTAGCTTTTTCTGCAACAAACAGAAATTATACATAATTGAGACCATTAATATTGAAACTAAAGCTGTAGATGGTTGTCATGAAAAATACTATTGTCCTTTTCTGTCTAAATATTCTAGCCTTTTATAGCATAAAGTTTGCTATTAGATATTACATGTATTATTGCTGGCTGCAGTCACACCAGGTGACTAAACTTACTTATTTCCTGAGTTAACTGATATCAAAATTAACTAGTTTAAACAAATTGCTGGCTCGTAACTTTCATGTCTCAAATCTAACCCCACGCGGTCAGCATAATCCTGATTACACTGTACCTGTTAAAACTAAGACCTTCTTTGAGCAAAAACAAAACGAAAAAAGGAATGCCAGAAACTCTTTTGTAACAAGACAATTGACTCCAGGTAAATCATTGTATTAATTTTATAGTGAGTGTCCCACTACATCACTACCATAATCAACATTATTGACATATTACTTAAAACTTCATGGACCTGCTTCTTCTGCAATATTGCCATCACTTACAGTGTATCTTGGGAACAAAAGTTTAATTATACTATAATTGCCTCATATGAGGCCATCCAAGACAGTTTTAGATTCTGGATTCCACGCTGCGGATTCCGGAACCTTTTTCAGTGGATTACTTGGTTTCTTTTTTTTTTTTTAAATTATTATTTTTTTTATAATTCTTTATTGAAACAAATTGATATTAATACAGCAAATTAGTTACTTACCTACATAATTATAATGTTACAACTAATATTACTAATATTAATCATATAATCCAAAAAAAAAAAAAAACAATATCACTAACAATAGACGGTAACCAAGAAAAAGAAAAAAAAAACAAAATTCAAACAAACTAGAAATGTGGATGCATATTAAAACTTTAAATAGTCAAGCATTTACAAGAGGCGACACTAACCATTTAGCTTCAAAGAAATCTTACTATGCAGACTTATATATTTTTCTGTTTCATATTTTACAGCAATTTTCTTTTTAAATCCATATATATTCGGAAGAATTTGAGTTCTTCTACAATCCCACAAGTACAATTTCCCAATCATAATTAGATAGTTTAGAAGCTTAGCAGAAGGGGAGTTTTGTCGTATCATTCCAACTAAAACATCTTGCAACGAAAGTCGAATGTTTTGCTTTAAAAGTTGGTGCCAGAATACTTCGAAGTCACGCCAGAAATCTACCGAGAAAGGACAGAGATATAGGAAGTGATATAGCGTTTCTGGTTCAGATGTTTTCCTTTAAAAGTTGGTGCCAGAATACTTCGAAGTCACGCCAGAAATCTACCGAGAAAGGACAGAGATATAGGAAGTGATATAGCGTTTCTGGTTCAGATGAACAAAATGAACACGAGTCATTCAATTTAAAGCCAATTTTGTAAAGTTTAGCATTAGTATAGAGAATGGAGTTAAGAATTTTGTATTGAAATGCCGTAACATATGCTTCAAGAGCAACACTGTGCGGGATCATAAAAATTTGTTTAACAAACTTCCTCGAGTGTGAAATGAAATTCATTTTGCAGCTTGTTTACATTAGTTGGAAAAAGAGCCTTTCTGCTTACAAGTAAAGTATAATAGTCTTTAGATTTCTTCTTTGTGACATCAAATATATTATCGTCAATTTTTAGAGAAAGTTCACCTGTTGTTGATTTATGAGTACAATTTTTTAAAACGGAAGGAATGGAGTGTCGAAGACCTGCCCAAACTAAAAAATTAGTTTTAGAAATCCTGTTAGAAACTAAGGAAAAGGAATCTTTGTTATTTAAGTCAAAGGATAGATCGCTGATGTGAACTACACCAGCTTCGAAATAGCTTTTATTATTAAAGAGTATTTGTTTGTTATTCCAAAGAATATAACGCCAGTCTTTTTCTGAAGAGAACGTATCTCTAAATTCTGACCACCACTGCAGTAGTTCTAGATAGAATAGAGAAATATTCAGTGGAAGGATACTAACATCATAATTGCAATGAAACAAGAAAGGGCCGCCAAAGCGTTCTAGATGATGTCTCAGATACCTTTTCCAGGTGTCATCATTTGAGCTAGCTATTCTTTTTAGCCATGCCAATCGAAGCGATATTATCATGCTATCAAAATCAATCATCTTTAATCCTCCGTTGGAGTATTCATTTATCGCCGATCTGCGGGTGACTTTATCACGACCATTCCATAAGAATTGAAATAATAACTGGTTTAACTGACTTACAAATTCTTTTGGGGTAGGTATTAAAGATGACACATAAACAAATTTCGGGATTAATAGAGATTTGAGAAGTGTAATTTTACCATAAATAGAAAGTCCTCTAGAGGACCAAATTCTAGTCAGGTTTTTAATACTGTCTAATCTTTCTATGAAATTCTTTTCAAGAGGCAATTTTTGATCATACGTGTAATAAATTCCTAAAGCCTTTATCGGTTCGTTAGGCCATTTAACTCCAAAAGGCTGTGCTTTGCAGTTCCTTGAAGAACCTATCCACATAGCTTCCGTTTTGGAACAATTAATCTTTAAGCCAGAGACAATCTTGAAATCATCTAACAGCCTAAAAAGAGCAGTAGTAGAGCTTGTGTCGGCAAGTATTGCTGTCGTATCATCTGCGTATTGAAGAATTTTTGTCTCCTCACTCCCAATAGAGATACCTTTGATATCTTTATTTTGTCGAATCGCAATTGCTAATGTTTCTATAGTAACTACAAAGAGGTAAGGAGAGAGCGGGTCCCCCTGTCGTACCCCACGTTCAAGATTAAAGTATTCAGATGAAAGTCCGTTGTTTATCACACAGCTTTGTATGTTTCTGTAGAACGTTTGAACCCAATGGATGAAATTAGGGCCAAAATTGAAGGATTTCAAACAATAGAGAAGAAATTCCCATTCTACGCTATCAAATGCCTTTTCAAAATCAATAAATATCATTAGTCCCGGAATACTTTCTTTTGAAGTGAAATCCATAATATCGAAAACTGATCTAATTGTTTCGCCGATATATTGGTCTTTCACGTATCCAGTTTGGTTATGGTGTATAATATTTGAAAGAACATTTTTAATTCTAGTGGCGATCACTTTAGACATAATTTTTGTGTCAACGTTTACGAGAGAGATTGGACGCCAGTTCTCAATATATGAACGATCTTTTCCTTTTTTTTTCTATTAGAGTAATTACCACTTGTTTTTGAGAACAAGACATTTCACCTTTTTCAAAGCTTTCGTTCACGCATTTAAGAAAAGGATCGCTTATTAAAGGCCAGAACACTTTGAAGAATTCTATAGGAATTCCGTCATTCCCGGGAGTTTTGTTGGTTTGAAAGCTCTCGAGGATATTGTAACATTCCTCAGCTGAAATTTTGCCTTCGCAGGTCAACTTTTGTTCTTCGGTTAATTGAGGTATATTCAAATTCTCTAGAAACTTTACAATGTTCTGACGGTTTTCCGCATCACTATTTGAACTTTTGTATAACTCTCGATAAAAACGTTTTGTTCTTGAAGAATGTCATAGGGATCTGTCTTTACGACGCCGCTGATTACTAGTTTCCTTATCTGCTTTTTTTACATGATTTCTTTTTCCTAAGTTTAGGAAATATTTGGTACTTTTCTCGCCGTGCTCATGCCAACGTGCTCGGGCACGGATTATTATTCCGTTGACTTTTTCATCATAAAATGATTCGAGCTTATCCTTAGCCGCATTTAAATTGTTGCCATTCAAATCATTGGGGTTCGTTTCGAAAACCTGTTTCGCTTCAGTATATTCTTTTTCAAGTTTTGATCGTCTTTCGTTTCTCTCCTTTGCTTTCTTTTTGGAATATTTTATAGCATGAGCTCTTATGTTATATTTTATCCAGTCCCAAATGTTACGATGGTCGGAAAGTTCTTTTCGGCCTTCCTTGATCCAAATTGGTACCATTTTTGTAAGGTCATCAATGTACTCATCATCCTCCAATATGGAGGTGTTCATCTTCCAGAACCCAGGACCCTTAGCCTCTTTGTCCACGTTCCCAAATTCTAAATAGATAGCAGAATGGTCAGTTCTGATGGCGGGGATTATATTTGTGGCTTTGACCCAGTCATGTAAATTGTTAGAAATCAACCAATAATCAAGGCGACAAAATATCGGCGGAGATCGTTGACTCCAGGTAAAACTTTTAGTTTGCGGGTTTTTAACTCTCCATATATCTACAAGATCTAGTTGACTTTGGACATCGTTGATGAAATTTATCACAGATTTCCTAGGCGTCATTATGCCACCTTTTTTGTCCAGTGTAGGATTCAGAGGACAATTGAAATCACCTCCAATCACAATATTTTCTTCTGAATCTAAATTTTCGGTCTGCAGCTTAGATAACACATTTTTGAGGAATTTAATGATGTCTTCGTCTTTGTTTGGTGCATAAATGTTTACGAGAATAACATTTTATCTTTGATAGCGGCTTTAACAACGATATACCTCCCCGATGTATCTACAATTTGAGAGTGAATAACGCAATCAAGACCTTTTTTGATTAAGATTGCAACACCTCGAGAGTTTGAGCTCCCATTGGAGCAAATAAGTTCTGCACCCCATTCGTTTTTCCATTTTAACTGTGTTGACAATGTCGAATGAGTTTCTTGCAGGAATATTATATCCGAGTTTCGTTTTCGACACCACGTGAAAATTGTTCGCCTTTTTCTGAAATTGCTTAGTCCCCTCGCATTGAGAGATAGTAGATTAAGAGAATGATGGGTCATTAGAGCTGAATCGGGGAAGTGGTATTGTAGAAGAAGCCATATAAAACGAAAATGAAATCGATGGTATAGCAGAGTGCAAGAAAATATAGTGCACATAAACGATAATATTCGCCCTAAAACAAATTATTAATCTACATATCAAGTAAGAAGTTTCCAGTGCACTCACATTTCTAATTAAACAAGGAGGGTTAAATAGTTTAACACTTATTACAAACATAAACCTTAAACTAAACTTAACTATTGATGTGCTGTCGCGCTGTGACCGCTTTGGCTTTAGTTTCCGCTGTTTCTTGTGTTCATAATGAGACCGTAGTATGGGAGATTGGTTGTTTCTTCACCTCTGTAGATTTGCCCGTTTATAATTAGCTTATCAACTTTGAAATAGGCTGTTTGCTTTTTCTGTTTGGCCTTTTTCAAGATGGGATATAACGTTTTCTGTATTTCATCAATTTACCGGGGGAAATCATACTTGGTTTCTGGATTCCAATCGTTTGACCTGTATTTCAGGTTTCAAAGCTCAGAATTTAGGATTCCGCAACAAAAATTGCCCGAATTCTGGATTCCATAAGCAAAAATTTCTCGGATTCCAGAATCCCTTACATGGGGTGATCATAAAAAACAATCAGTGAAAGCAGGGTATCATGATCTAAATTCTAGCTTCTCTATGTTTTCAGCACCATGGCAGTCACTGCCTTTACTCCCCTTTTAAGTTTTGGAAAAGCCTTTGGAGAAAGTAGGCACTAGAGGATAAGGTTAATTTTGGCCTAATAGAGGGGATCGGAATTAGCACCTACTTCAATTCTTATTAAATTTTCCAAGACCATTTATCTGAAGAGAACAACCAAACAAAAGATTACAGTATTTTTTACAACAACAGGACAAATAAAGTTTCAGGAGAAGGGGTGAGTCGTTGTTGATTACTGAATAGGGAACTTAAGAACCACGACGAAGTTCACGACGACGACGTCTGTTGACTGGGAAAGGACTGGAACGAGAACGTCAGTTTCGGCGGGAAAAAGGAAACTTAATATGCAGTCGATCGGTTAGTCGACGACGACGACACTGAATGTAAACAAACATGAAGAAGTAGTACAACTGTGATGTTCGTTCGCAACAAAGTCTTTTCGCAAAGGCGTCTTTTAAGACGATGCAAGATCTTATTTTATAAGCCGTACGTCTACTTTCATTGACGATGAAGAATTTTTAGTGTTGTCTGACCTTTTCGAATGGAAAGATCTCTGCTTTCCGTACGAAGGTTATTCAACTTTCAACCTGAATGACACGGACCGAGTCCGAGTGTCTGTCAGAGTTTAGATTTGGGAAAAGAGACATTCCGATGCGATAGCTCTTTTCCATATAAAGTTCATTTCCTCTATATTAAAGATATATGATTTGTCTGACCTAAATACGTAGAAATAAATTTGTCACTTATGAGTTCGCTCGCTCGGCCTGCACAGCTCGGTGTTGTCTTCGAAGTAAACACAATTCATCAGTCAAACTTTCAATCAACGTCGCTTGTTAGGAGAAAAAAGAAAGGATACTTGGTTTTACGAGGTGAAAAAAATACAAAGCCCTAGAAAAATCGCTTAAAAACAGGGAGTTATACCTGCCGAAGCTTGTGGATTGCAGGACGACGTGATTCTACTGTGTTTGGCGTCGTCGACGACACCACGACAACGAAATCTGTTAACCGCGCTTTCGCGTGCACGGTATTTCACTTCCGGTCGTCGTCGACAAAGTCGTCGTCCTGGTTCTTAAGTTCCCTAATATTGGGAATGCAAATGTAGGTATTATCAAATAGTATCATTAATGGCTTAACAGTAACAATGAACTTTCTTATACTTACTGAGCATTTCTTTCACTCCCGATTAGTTGCTCCCTCAGCATTTGTTTGTCCTTGCATTTCTCCTGCCTCTTCTTAGTTTTACACTAGGGACCTTACGATCCGACAACGGCGACGGCGACGTGGGACTTTTTTACTTCCGGTTACGTACTGCGCATGAGTAGATCTCTGAGACGGCGGTGTCCCTTCACGCGCGGACGTCTAGAAGCCTTGTTTGACGTTGTGCGAAAACGTGGAAATTAAAACCCAACTATGGCAAAGGAATCAAGGTAAAAACGAGACTTTGCGACTAAATTTAAAGAATACTAGTTTGTATGAAATGTCCGAAACGAACAGAGCGTGGAGTCTTTTGTATACGACCGCAAACTGAATGGAGAGAGATTTGACTTATTTTGCTTTGTATTTGTTTGTGATTGTACTTCACTAGCTATCACTGAGCTTTCTTATCACTTACTTTCCAACTTTTTTCTCGATCAAAAAAGAGAACAATTAAGCTTAATTTTATTTTGGGTTTACTAGGAAATAGTAGAGAGATTTTGTCGGCAGCGGTACTAGATTCGACCGATGCAAAGTGTATAAATACTTTCATTGAGCTAATTTTCATTTATAATCGTAGATTAACCTTATTTTACAAGGAACTCACTGGCTGGGTTGAACAGTTATATCGACGAATTCCGACTACCGCAAATATTGCTATATTTATAACTGAATCAAAAACAAATACAAAACAGAGACGTTCACATAATTTCCACTGTTTCCTAATTAAATAAGAATTATTTTACAAAATCCAAACTTTATTGATTGCCCAATATTTTGCTCCAAATACTACACATTTTTTAGTAATTCATGACTGTTTTCATTTGAAAGCGTCCCTCCAACCTTAATTGTATGTTTTCCTCATTCGTAAGGCAAGGGATTACCATCATGTATTCTCATGATCATTTCTTTCTGTCAACAAGTTCAGCTAATTTATTGGAGGACTAAAGAAAACAAAGATATTGTCTAATATTATGATGATCTAGTTAATACCACCCAAAGCAAGTTATGTTATTTGTTTTAAAAATTTTGATCATGATTAGGACCAAGTGCTAGTAAATCTCAGATACAATAATAATTTTGTTGTTAGCAAATTTTGCTGATATACTGATAGTTCTTCCTCATGAAGTAATTTTTGTTGCACTGCACTTTCAGTCAATCAATGAAATGGACTGAAGAACACGAATTGCTTATGTTGAGGGAATTGATGCTTTTGCAGCCATGGCTGCACAAGAAAGGAACTAGTGAGAGAGGAGATGATTGGGAAAAGCTGGCAGTATCCTTAAATGCTATTCCTCATCCCCAATTCCGTGTTACTCAACGGTCTGTTCGTGACCACTATTCAACAATGGAAAAGAGAAGAAGGAAAAAAGTCAGGGAAGAAGACAGAGCCTCAGGTATTGCCCCTGAAGAGGACAAGGAACTAGATCAACTGTTAGATGAAACCATTGAACTCTTTGATGAGTCTGACAAAATCACAGATCAAACAAAACAAAAGCAGGAAGAAGAAGCAAAGAAAGCAGAGGAAATGCGGAAGAGATCATTGCAAACTTTTAAAGATAGCGCCAAAAGGAATGCCGATGAACAGCAAGGAGCAAGACCGAAAAAGGGTAGAGCTAGTGGTGCAAGCACTCTGGCTTACCTGAAGGATAGGGCAGAAGTAGAAGCTACTTTAAAACGTGGTGAATTGGAGATAAAAAGGCAAGAGTTAGCACTGCAAGCAAAGGAGCAGGAAGGAAGACAACAGCAGTTTGATATGATGAACAAGCAAACTAGAGATATTCAGCAGCTTCAGCAGCAGCAAATGCAGCAGTTTATGGAAATGAATGCAAACATGATGCAACAGCACCAACAACAAACCCTTGCACTTGTGGAACTAATGAAAAAAATTGCTGGGAAGTGATGCTGGTCAATCTCTGCAAGAGGTCATTTAAATGCACAAAGAGTTCACATTTTTATTAACTTGAACATTTTCAAGGAAGTTAAAAATTAAAGATTTATAATAATAATTACTTGTTTACATATATAGTTGTAAAGGAAATGTTGCTTAATTTTGCCAACCTTTGAAAGTCGCCGAATTGATGTTATGCCAGTATCAAAACTGGGGCTGAGCCTTTATCAAGGGAATAGGGCTTATCCAACTATAGAATTGCATTACTCTCTGTAAACATGCTCACCATTATTTGTTGTCATTTAATAGTTTGTTTTGGTGGCATTTATTTCACTTTAATTCCAATATGTTAGCCTTTCTCGATTGTATAATTTTTTTTATTAAAAAGCAGTTCAATTTTTGAAAGGAAAAGTGTTATGTAACTTTTGCAAAACCTGTTTGGCAGACTTAGTGAAAATAATCCCCAATTTCTGGGGGAGAAACATCAAAGTAGTCTGATGTGGTGGATCCGTAACAACAAACACGAGCATTGTGAAGAAGGGCACATGTCACATACATTTTGCCAACAGCACTTAAACTTATTTTCAAGTTTTTTTGGAAGTCCAGAAATTTAAAATAATTTATTATATCACCAAAAATCCATTCAACAGAAACTCTGACTTCACTCATAGATTCATTCCATGCAGACTGTATGGGAGTTAGTCCAGCTCCTCGAAAAGGTCCTTGCAGATGTAGTCGAAGA